GATCTGGTGTGTAAAGTTGCACCATAACTTGCGTGTTCTAATCTCCACGTCCGAGACATGGGGATGTGGTAAGTGATTCACGAGACGTAACTTGAAGCCGTACGATTTAAAATGAACGGTGCAGATCTCGCATAAAAACGTGGATTTTGCTCTTCAACTCTGAGTGTGTGTGTTGTTCTCCATCAAAACTTATCCATCTTCAAGAGTTTCTTCTCAATCTTTCTCTGAGAAAAATGCCGAGCAACTGTGAAATTCTCTGCGAGATCATAATCGCGATCCTTCTTCCACCTCTTGGAGTTTGTCTCAGGAAGGGATGTTGCACCGTAAGTTCTCTCTCTCTCGAATTCATTGGATCTTCAATTTCTGTTGAATAGTTTAGGTTTGATTCTGATTGTAAATTTCGTTATTACGTTGCCTGTGGTGTGTAATCTGGTGTCGAACGCATCAATTTGTGTTCACTCTTCCAAGAAATCTTTGAAAATTAGGTTCACTTGTTACAAAACTTTCGATTATTTACTCCTTAATATCTGATATATGAATCGAAGAACTTCTCTAATTTGGAACTGCTCATGTGAATTTGCTGATTTCCTGGAAGCTTGTATAATCAAATTACACTAAAGGGATTGAAGAAAGTTTGAATTTTTCATGTCTGTGTTGCAGGTAGAGTTCTTGATCTGCCTGGCACTGACTATCTTAGGCTACATACCAGGCATAATATATGCCATTTACGTGATTGTGTTTCAGAACCGTGAAGAGTATTTCGATGAATACAGACGCCCTCTCTACTCCGCTTGATCCATGTTTCAGAATATCTTGTTCCTTTGAAACTGTTTACTTATGTACCCAATAAAGTTGCTTTACAGTTTTACTTCTGTATTGAAGATTTGAAAGAGAAAAAAAAAGCATTGTGTTTTGATATAATTTGTTCTCCTTTTGGTGCATATGCAAGATTGATGGTTATGAACCCTGCTAAGTGTTTGTGCATCAGGTTGTTTGCCAAGATTGTATCGCAGATGTTTTCACTTGGGAATCCCGGTAAGCAAAACTTGGTCGAGGCAATGTCAAGTTGGTAGGTCATACCGGTTTTTGAGTTGTTCATTCTTAGGTTGAATGCGTATAGCTGTGTTATTACATTTGTTATATCTAAGAATCATTTAATCAACAGAATCCATGTCGGTTTTTCTAGTCTTACTCCAAGTGGCTTTTG